ATATACACCTTAATCCTTAAAAAAATTACATTTTATTTATAACAAAGAGGGAAAAAAATTAACATTGTTTTTAGAAAAATCATGTGCATTTGTTTTTAGAATTTATAATAAGCTCGTAAAATTTCTTAAGGATTTGACTAATATTTCAATAATCCTAAAATTCTGGTATAAATACTAGACTTACCAGTAAGCTAGTATTTAAGTACTAAGAATTGACTAGAAAATTTTTAGAATTATTTTAGATATTCACCAATTTTAATTTGAAGTATTGTTTACCATAATATATAAGTTATGAAAAACACTTTTGTCTTCCAAAATAGGTGAACTCTGTCAGGACACCTACATAGATTTTTCCTATAAGATTTACTAAGCATACGAGCCCATAATAAATTTGAAATGTCAGATTTATTAATAAGCATAAATCTTCATTTTGAGTTATAGACAGACCACTAGTTAGGAACCCATTAACATCTTTAAGTCATATCCGAACCACAAAATACAATTTATCTCAGGTTAGGTGTGGTAGGAATGCAAATACCTTTCATAACCATAACCAATCATTTACCTGTGCGACAAAAGGTATTAAAAGTAAAGAGAGAAAACCACTTGAAATTCACATCACCACTGACATGTCACTATTTCTATGATAAGAAAACTCCTCGTTTATCCAGAACCGACCCCAGTGTAAGCCAAATCCTTCTTTTTTCTCTTTTTTTCTATTTTTTTTAAGTTATTCATGGTTTACTATTCATAAATGCAAATATTTCATATGGTCATTATTCATCCATGCATGGTCATTACTTTTATTTGTTTTATGTTGTTGTTGTTCACATTTCTTAAAACTACTTCTTTTTCTTTTTATATATGCATATACAAGTAAATATTTATTTTAAAAAAATAAATGAGAATTAATGTTTATGATTTTTCATTATGTTAGAGTCATGCTTTTTGATTAAACTTGGGTCTTAACAATTAGATCAAAATATCCCCTAGCTTTTAGGGACTAATATAGGCCTAACATGACATTTTGAATTTTAAAATGAGTTTAATAATGAATTGATGAGTTTTTATCAAGTTTTGAAAAAGCTTAAATTTGGATCTTAATGATTAGGTCAATGTTTAGCCTAGTTTTAGATATCATCATAGACCTAGCCTAATTGTTTTAAAATATAAAATGAGGTTATAAATTAGTTCATAAGTTTTTTTTAAGTAGAGGCTAGCATAGGTTATACATAGTATTTTGTCTTATTTTTATCTTTAGAAAAAAATTAATATTAAAAAGGGTCAATAAAAATTAAACAAATCATAATAAAAAACGAAAAAAATCATCAAATTATAATACTCCTAATTCAAAATTTAATGATAAGTTGTTGAAGAGTCATCAATTATAAATTACTTGCAAATAAACTTAAAAAATAATTTAAATTATTAATGATATGTGTAAAAGATATTTAAGAGAAACACATAACTATAGTAATACTTTTCAAAAAAGAAGATGTGGTAATGATAATTTTTTTATATTTTTCATTAAGCATGGCCAACCATTTATTTAGATTTTTGAAATTAGTACATGTCTTAGTCTTCTTTAAGAATTAGATGGCAACTTTATTTTTTATATATTTTTTTAATTTTTAAAGTTTATATATTTATGTCAGGTGCAAGAAAACAAATAAACTATTTTTTATTAGAAGTGCATACCTAATAAGCTTGGGGTTTATATTTAAGCCCATCAACTTCAAACTAGGGGTGATCATTTTCGGTTTGGTTCGGTTTTTATAAAAAAAAACTAACCAAACCGAAAAAATTTTTTTGAAAAAAAACCCGAAACCGAACCGAAACCGGGTCAAACCGACCGGTTTGGGTTCGGTTCGGGTTTTTTAGGGGAAAAACCGGTTCAAACCGGTTTGGCTCAGTTTTTCCTGTTTGGCTCGGTTTTTCTCGGTTTTTCTCGGTTTTACCTCGGTTTTTCCGGTTTGGCTCGTTTTTTTTTTCGGTTTCGGTTCGGTTCGGTTTTTTTGGTTTTTTGATTATAAACCGAAACCGAACCGAACCGGCTGGTTTTTTCAAAATTTTAATCGGTTTAATCGGTTTTTTTTTTCGGTTCGGTTTTTTCAATTATTTTTTTTCCAGTTTTCTTGATTTAATCAGTTTTTCAGTTTTTCGGTTTTTTTCTCACCCCTGCTCGGTTCGGTTTTTTCAATTATTTTTTTTCCGATTTTCTTAGTTTAATCGGTTTTTCGGTTTTTTTACTCACCCCTACTTCAAACACTATCCTAAAAATAAACACATTACAAGTTTTGTGTTTATGTTTAAAAAAATTTAGAATAAAAATCGAAAACCATGTTACTAATTTAATTAATTAAAATGGTCAGGACAAGCATGATATTACAATTTTACCCAGACAAATTATTTTGTTCAGATGGGGGCATTCCGTCCTTTCAAATTTCGGCCTGTCAGCAGCAGCAGCAAGAACAACGTTTTCTTGTCATCTCGATGACCTTAGGGTTCTTCTACTTTCTAAATTTGTTGTAAAAAAATTGAAGGCCGACGACAACTCCGACGACTGTCATCTACTCACTTCTGCTTCTTTGGTTTCAATTTCCTTCAACTATCAGATCCACGATTAATTCTCTTCATCAGCTTTATCAAGGTAGCCTGTTTTCTTTCTTTCTTTGTTAACAAAATCAAGATTTATTTGAGTTCAAGGATTGTACTCAATTGAGATTTTTTCCTGTAATTCTTGATATGAGATTTTTTAGGTAAACAATGTTTCATTTTTTTTGGGTTTATTTAGTGTTAGCTCAATCTTTCATGGCATGTGAAAAGGATGAAATTACATTTGTTCGAAAGGGTTAGCAAGCGGACTCTGTTGATTGAATTGACAGAAAATTATGGGCTATTTTGTTTTGTGCAGTTTTAAAGAAAATGGGTTGTGGGTTGTGTCAAAGCTATGTTTCTTTTTTGGATCGTATTTTGGCGCACAACGTTAATAGAGGGTGGTTTCATAGTTGTATGTATATTGGCATCTGTGTTAAAGAACAGGAGAATGTGTTTGGACTTCTCTTTGGAATGCTGAGAGCTTTTTTTGTGGGAAAGTTTTTAAGTGGATCAAAGAGTATTAGGTCAAGAGCTTAGGGGGAAGGCCGTTACTAAGACCCCCAGCCAAGCATGAATCCTGAGAAAGAGTAGAAATGAGTTTGAGCTTAGTGATTTTCTGGTTGTTGACGTAAAGTAAGGCTTTACTTCTGTAAAACTCACCAGTGAGAAACAGTTAGTTTTTTTTATGCTGCCATTACAGTTTTTTGGATGCTTATGTGGGAATTGTTGTGTTTTCAGGATTGGGAGCATTGCAAACTTGATGAGTTTGTGTTGTTAACTCTCTGCTTTAATTGCCATTTTCAACATGAGCACCCAGTATAGCGAAGATCATGTAAGTAGAAAACATGGTGCTTTGGGGTTTGATATTATATCGGGACTACAAGGTCATGTAAGTAGAAAACTTTAATAATGTAATTGTCTTGCAGGGAGAAGCAACTGTTGTGGGATTTGAAGTTCCTAGATCACCTGATTCAAGCTACAACAATGCATACCCAGGGAATGAAGATGAGGTACGGGACCCACCTCCAGTACCTCAACACCTGCAACACTCCTTGCTTAGCTACCCAGTAAGTGCAGACACTTCTGAAACCCTTCCACTGCCACAGAATGTGATTCTCAACCATCTTTACATTGAGAACCAGGAGACCCCACGTTCTGTGGTGGCACTTGGGTTCACTCATCGCTTCCATTCAAAATCTGTCACTGTTGTGCTATACAAACCTGTTCAAAGGAGGGGGAGTACCAGCAGTTAGTATGCGTATATAATAAACCTTTGCTAGATTTTGTTTCTTTGCCCTTGTTGTGATGGAATTGGCTGCAATAGACTCCAATATGAGATTAGCCAAAACGAGAATATTTATTGCCTCGCATCACAGCAGCTGATGGAATTAGGTTTGTTCTATTGAACCTTGAAGTTCTCTCCACTTGAATTGTCTCTTGTGCCATGAGGTTAGATTTGCTTTACTTGTAAAGTATACATTCATATTCTTATGAACACTAATATGGTGGAATGGAGCTTATTTGTACTATGAAACTTGAAGATTTGCCTTATCCCTTGGATATGTGCATTTTGGTTTTCGAATGTGCTCCATAATGATACAAATGGCTGTCTTGCAAACAGGGTCATGTTCATGCAGTCTAGCTTTGTTTTACCACTAGAAGGTTATCTGGCAACCAAGTGTTCCTCCTTAGTCACCCGTTAGGTTTTATGAATAGAATGAGTTGAAAGTTGAAAGTCACATGATCATATTTATAATAAGTTTCTTTAATTGATAGAACTATCTAAATATGTGGAAATAGCTTGCCCACTGTTTGAAAAAATACTTTGAGATAATCTGACCTATCAGTCCATGTTGAATGCACCTGATGTTTCTTTGCAGTGCATTGTGTGCATAGGCTATCCTCTGCAGATAATGTCGAGTTGTATTGTTAGGAATTCTTCAATGGTGGATAGATAAGGCCATAAGATGTGATTGCATCACCTGATTCCTAAATTGTTTTACTGTTTTTGGGGTTTGTTTATATGGATCAATGTCTTATTATCAGTGAATAGGATGCCATTATGATGGGCTACAGAATTTAAACCATTGAATATGGTTTCACCCCTTTTTTTTTTTTAGTGGCTTATCAAGCTATGAAAATTAAGGAATGAGGTTCCACGTCCCAAGTAGCCCCTTGGGCAGCGTAACTTAATGTATTTGGTCTTACCCTCCCTTGACTCAAAAGCTAAGCTCCAGGTCATTGGTAGTGCATGACTAAGGTTTTTACCTGTCCAAGATCGTTCCCATTCCTATCCTTGTGGGATTGGGGCATCGTTAACAGGTAGCTTGTGTCTAGACAATGCTCAGTGTATATACACTGAAAGTAGATATGCATGTTGTTTAGCAGTCTGAGACTCGGGATGCACTTAAAGTAGATATGTTTACAGTTCTTTGTTCTTGTTTACCATAAATGATGATAAAGAAAACAACCATAAGTGCAGAACTGGCCGCTTCAAGCTTCCTTGTTGAAGGTGTGCCCATTTTCAAGTTTCAACCTTCAACCTTCCTTTTTTATTGATATGGATGGGATACAAAGCCCAGGAAAAACGAGAAGAAAAACAATCGCAGAAACTACTTACAAAGCCTGAATTCAACTGTACCACAAAAATCCTTCTGCAAGCAGCCTGACATGAAACTTGGAGGCTTGTATAATAAATCTCATAGCCTAATTCTACACCCTTAGCAGGCATTATGTCCGCATGGATATTAGCTTCTATGTATGCTTGGGAGATTCACTTACCTTGGATGACTTTGAAAAGGAGGCCATGGTAAAGCAAGATTTTTGGGCTTAGGTCTGTTCTTCTATAGTTGCCAGTTCCTTTCTTAGCTCCTGAATGTATTTACTCCAGCCATTTTAAGCACATGTTCCCTGGATATAGTAATTTAATACCAAGAGCGGTGAGAAGGCGTCTTGAAGTTCCAAAAAAACATGGTTATGAAACTTGGTTAGGTCCATGACTCCATTCAAGCTTAGGTTATATTTTAATTGAGTCAATTTAAACCAGCATTGTTTAAAGTTTTTTCTTTTGAAAAAAATATAAAACAAGTGATGTTTTGAATAAAAATTTATTTGATATTCACGAGTAAACCCGTGCCGAGTTTGATTAATTCTCACATAATTCAATCTGGATCAAATCTCAGACGGGGCATAATAATATGGAAGATTGCAAAACAAACAACGAGTTAGAAAACGTATAATAAATAATTGTGACTCCTAACTCCTAAGCAACAATCCACTATTCCGAAAACAAAATTGAACTCCTAAGCTCGGTTTCTCTGATACTGACGGTACCTGCATCCATAAAAAATCTAGCCTTTGGATCGATCGGAAAGTGCTGAAATCATGATCTCCATGACTACTTGTACTCCTTTTCCAATTAATTTTGTATTGAACTATGGACTTTACTCGAATAAATAAATAAAATTTGGGATTCCTACTAGACAACTTGATCGAAACAAGGTCTTATAATGGAGCTCTTATATGGATATACATTAAAACACAGGAGCTATGATAATATGTGAACAAAGACTCACCATTTCATAATTTCCAAGCTTTAAAATATTGCACAGATGTTTTCAACGCACCTTCAGTTCCAGCGAAACCCAATTGGCACCATGAAAATAAAGAACTCTTGAGAGCTTTTGAAAGGGTAATGCAAGGTTACAGGATATTTTTCTTCTATCTCCATTAAACTGGCGGAAGCGACCGACAAGGAGGGGAGAGAATTGCACTTGTGGTATTTAAGAAAGATTCTTCCTTTGACCATGGATAAGTGCAAGCCACATATTATAATGAACAGTTTAATATGTGAACAAAAAGATGACAAAACCCTAACTTGTGATCTGGAATTGAAGAGGGTGATAGGAGGACTTGATTTGATTTTTATTTGGGACTTGGTTGACTTGCAATTTTCCACAGTTAATTAAATCCCACAGGTTGGTTACTGTGTAGGCCAGGCAACAATGCTTCTAAAATATTTAGTTTAAGGTTTATGCAATGTTTTTAATAAGCTTAAATTATTCATAATATTCTTTGGTTAAATTGAATATTAAAGCTCAAAGACCAAGTTGAATTTAGCCTTGTGATAATTTTGAAATTATAAGTACGTATGTAATAATTGACTACAAATAGAAGCACCCAGCAAGGATCTTAGAAAGCAAATCTGAAAGAGATAAAATACTACTGTAATTAAGAGGAAAATCAATATTAACAGACATGCAATGAGGTAAGTAAGCACTTCCTTAATCAAAGAAAGCTCACACCAGTCTCTGTTAATCAAGCCGCTAACAGTTGCTTGTAACAGGTTTACATTGCAGCTCGTGGTTTCATGTTTTTAACTGGTTAGGTCTGATTAATCTTTTTATTTATTTTTTTAATTTGAACCGTCCGAACTTAAAAGGGCCGACTCTTGAATTGACCCGCCAGACCCATCATTATTTTATAACTAGGGCAGTACCCTTTGCTTTGTTTTGTGGCCATTCATATTTTGGTTTAACTAAAGAAAGTTTTTTTTTCCCTCCTTATTTCAGGAGGAAGGATATTTGTGGAACAGCCTACACTGATTACCCCCTTTGATTGCTACTACCAATTTAACTAGGGATGCTTTCAAGATTCACATCTCCTACTCAATTGAGGATGCGAATGAAGTAGAATTTTGAAGGGAAATTAAACAAAGTATGATCATAATTACTGTAACAAACATTAGCAGGTTCAGGTTACCTCTTGGAGATGAGTTACCAAATGAAGAACTGGTGGGTCCTTGTATACTTTGGGATACACCATGAGACTTTTCCTGTTCATAACCAGATGCGGCGAGTGGGTTCTATAGAGATCTGTTTCCATGAATTTTTATCAACCAATGGAATCTCATTTGCCCCTTGCAGATAATAATTGAAGTATAAATTTAAGTACATACTCCCAAACGTCAACCCTTGACACGGTATAATTGCTCTGCATTTTTTCAACATCAAAACAGCTTTCATTTGCAGTTCAACAGATCTCTGCCTTCTCAATTTCCAAAGAGAAATTCAGCAAGAAAAGGAGTGAAAGTCACAGGATGGGTGGTATTGAAGGATCCCCAGGTAGCTCCATGCATGGAGTTACAGGCAAAGAACAAACCTTTGCCTTCGGTTGCTTCTACTATGGTCCCAACAGAAACAACAGCAAAATTTGCTTTGCCGGTTGATTCTGAGCACAGGGCCAAAGTGTTCAAAATTTTCTCTATTGCCTAACCCCACATGAGAACATTTCACCTTTCTTGGATATCCTTTTTCACTTGTTTTGCCTCCACTTTTGCTGCATCACCCCTCGTTCCCATCATTCGTGAAAACCTCAATTTAATCAAAAGTGACGTTGGTAATGCTGGGGTTGCTTCTGTCTCTGGAAGCATCTTCTCTAGGCTTGTAATGGGTGCAATTTGTGACCTCCTAGGGCCGCGATATGGCTGTGCTTTTCTGATCACTCTCTCAGCCCCAAATGTGTTTTGCATGTATTTTGTGTCATCAGCTGGAGGGTTCATAGCTGTCCGTTTCATGATTGGATTCTCTCTTGCAACATTTGTGTCTTGCCAATACTGGATAAGCACCATTTTTAACAGCAAGATTATAGGACTTGTTAATGGAACGGCAGCCGGTTGGGGCAAAATGGGTGGAGGTGCAACTCAGCTCATAATGCCCTTGGTCTACGAACTGATCAAGCGAGCTGGTTCAACTCCATTCACTGCCTGGAGGATAGCATTTTTCATTTGGCTTCATGCTATCATGGGAATCTTGGTTTTGACTCTGGTCCAAGACTTGCCTGATGAGAATCTCAGTGCCTTACAGAAGAAAGGGTTATGTTTCCAAAGATATGCTCCCGGATCCACGGTCAGTTTCTTTTAGTTCGATCCCCACTCTCCATTCAAGCTCATAACTCAAAAAGATTGTTATAATCATAGCTATTCGATGTGTTTTTATCTCCTGTTCAGGTACTGTGATAGGCTATTACAAACTATAGGACCTTGATCTTTGTCCTTCTCCATGGCTACTCCATCGGAGTTGAATTATCCACCGAAAATGTTATTGCCGGGTAATTCTATGATCGGTAATTCAATAAAAAAAAAAACCAAGAATTGTCGCTGTGAAAAGTCACCGAGTAACAGTGCAACGATGTTTTTACCTTTTAAATTAAAAACTTAATGAACTGTTTTTGAAGGCAAAAATATATTTTCCATGATATCTACATAATTATCTTTAAAAGTATATACTATAAGGTGTTTTGATGTTATCTTTTGTATTTTTGTGCCTGGCCATTTAAATTTTAAAAATAAGCTTTTCAACTTTTTTTTTTATATATATATTTGATCTCTTTTTTATTAATATTTATTTTATTAAAAATGATTTAAGAAATTTATTTTTTTATAATTTTATTCCCCTTTAATTTTTTCAATTGTTAAATTTGATTATTATTCTTTTAATTGTTATTTTTTATGTTTTTATATAGAATTTTTCACTAATTTAGAGAATGACTCAATTTATCTTATATCTTTTTATTTATTATTTTTTAATTTAGATTTTTAAAATAAATTTCTTATTGAATTAGATTAAATTAATTAATTAGATATAAATATGGAAAGCTTTGTTTTGTTTTATTTTTACAACACATATTTGAATTGTTATCTTGACAACGCATATATAACCTCTGGTATCCACAATGAAACAAAAGTAAGTCTCAAAATGTTTTATTTCATCTCCTATTGATGAATTTTATTTTTTATGGTTAATTATTATTTTTTCAATTTTATTTATTATTAATATTTTGTTAATTATATTATTAAATTAATCAGATTTATTTAACCTACTCAAGTTAATAAACCAATCTTAATCTTTTTTCCTTTTTTCGAAAGACAAGTATCACCTGAGGTTTTTTTTTTTTACATTATAAAAAATTAACATGGCCCGCAGTGTTACGCGACCGTGTGTTTTTCAACTAATTATCACGCATGTGCATCTTTAGCTGACCCTGTAGGCTGTACTCTATCATATGATATGTGAACTAATCAAGATTGTTGTTTAAAGGTTCGATCTAAAGCTTCACAGAGTGGGGTTATTGCTGCTACCTTAGGGATGGCTAACCTTCTAGCTCGTCCCTTTGGTGGAATTGCTTCTGACGTTGCAGCAAGATACTTTGGTATGAGAGGTAGATTTTGGGCTCTCTTCTTACAAACACTCGGAGGAGTTTTCTGTATTTGGCTTGGACGTGCTAATTCACTTTCCATTGCTATCGTGACAATGATTCTCTTCTCCAGTGGAGCTCAAGCTGCTTGTGGAGCAGCATTCGGTATCATTCCCTTCATTTCTCGACCATCATTGGGTTATACCAGGTCTAACCGATGCAGGTGGAAATTTTGGTTCTGGGTTGACACAGAACCAAAATTTGGTTTACTTCTGGATGGGTGATATGATTTATGGCTGCACTCTTCCTGTGACTTTGGTTTACTTCCCAAAGTTGGGTGGCATGTTCTTTCCAGCATCAAAAGACGTAGTGAAATCGACTGAAGAATCCTATTATGCATCAGAGTGGAATGAGGAGGAGAAGCAGAAGGGCATGCACCAGCAAAGCCTCAAGTTTGCCCTGAACAGCGGGTCTGAACGCGGCAAGCGTGTTGCCTCGGCACCAACACCACCAAATACCACACCAAACCTTCAGCCATGCCTCTGTGGTGCAATAGGCAAGATCTAAAAAGATGCAAGCCAGATTTTTGGATTGTAAAGGCATTGAAATAATCCCATTGTCTGTTAGGTATTCTTTTTGTTTTTCTCGACCCTCTGTAGACTAGATTTCAATCATCAGATGGAAACTAAGTTAAAGGTACCCATTCTAGGGATTCTGAAATTCTGATATTTAGGTTTTATTCTGTTGTATTTAAGCACCATCATTTCTTATCTACAAAATTATTTCTGTCTCCTGAAGCTATGAAATTTAATGTACTCGCAAGCAGCTACGCTTAACCAGGAATGATGTGGAAATGGCATTACAAAGTGAGGAATTTAAGCTAGTGTCATGTTATGGAGATGTTCAATCATTTCCAGTATTTATGTAGGAGTTGACTTTGCTCTAGTTTCTAAAGCGGAAAGCTGGAAGTCAAGGTAACCCAATATTGAATTTGAACCTTAAACTATAGAAGAAGGGTATAAAAAAACAGTAACCATAGTGGCAAGAGCAAGATCCCCATAATTTGACAGAAATGAATCTCTTAGATTTCTAGAACATTTCTTTTGTTAAAATTATGCATTTAACATCTTAAAAATAATCTTTATACTCCAAAGACTACGGATGCTATTCTCCTATCTACTTGCTGTCGGAAATATATTTATCAACGAAAGAGATCAGCACACAAATCCACGATCGCAGTGCTATAACCTCCAAAGTTGCATAAAGTTTTCTCTTGATTTGCACTTGATAGAAAAACGACATCCATGGGTATATATTGGCCGGCTCATGTAAAGACATGGAGCGACGCCATTTTCCAATGATTGGAACTCAAAACTAAAGGTCGCATCTATTTCTCATAAAGATTCATTATCTTCGTTCTCACATAACCATTAACCCTAACCAGCAAAGTTCAAGTTGTATGGTATCCATAAAGCGCATCCATTGCTAGCTAACCAAGCGTGTACTATGATCACTTCAAAACTCAAACTTAAGAAAAAAAGAACATATGCATTACCTCAAAACTCATAATGTTTGTGAGATGTTTGCTAGGAAATAAATCAAAATATTAGTCACGGATTGGTTGAAGCACATAACAGATCATGCTTGTACAAAATTCCAGTATAGGCCTGAAAAACATATGTAGCAGATGATCCAAGAACAATACTTGTAACTGATTTCTTCCATCACTAACATCTAAGAGATCTTTGTCGTTCAGGAAGAACAAAAACAGTAAATCACTCCATAAAGTTATCACTGCAGCAGAAATCCAGAAAAACCGTATTGAATCCTATCTACTTTCTAGAACTAATACAGATAGGGTGCCGTTGATACATGGAATCAGTTAGATTTGGGAAATTACTGCCAAATTAAGCCTTGCAGACATTATTTTAGCTGAAAAAGAAAAGGAGTTCATTACAATGTTGGTATAAAACATAAATGAAAAACAAAAGGTCTGAAGCCACAGCTAGAATAAAATCTTTATTCCCACTTGTCTGAATTTATTTGATTTAATAACTGAAGTATCAATTCAGGCCACCAATAAGAGGTCCTTTCCCTTCCAACCCCTAGATCACAATGATAATAAACCCCATCAAAGCGCAAACCTCCACTAGCAACAACCCATAGGCAAAATTCTAAAAGAATCACCTAATTATTCATGTAGCCATTAGACTCCAGAAAATGGGACTAGAAACCCCATTGAATCACTTATCTTGGATCAACAACAACTTTCAGCAATCTAAGAAGCATTTCTTGTTCTGGATTTCAAGGCACCTAATATTTCACCAAGAATTCATGGTTGTATTACCAGATAGAACCAAGAAAACAAATACGATGATTCTACCCATCAAAGTTATAGAAACCTTTCCAAGCATTCAACAATATTAACTCTAGTGTCCCCCTTCTGGATGTTCTTTATGATAGCCATAACTATTCTAATTAGCTTCAAACATCGAAGACAAGTAATGGTCCTTGTCTCAATTTAGAAACCATTATAGCAGAGACCTTCCTCCATAAAGTTTAACATAAATAGCTCAAATGATTCAACCAAATAGGGAAAAAAACCCCTCGTCTATCTAAATGATGATGGACCTTCCTCCATAAAGTTTAACATAAATGGCTCAAATGATTCAACCAAATACAAAGGGAAAAACCCCCCTCGTCTATCTAAATGATGAAGTACATGTATGAGAAGAAACAACCACCCAATAAAAGCCTCCATGGCCATATCTTTAATGGGTTTATTTCATTTTCTTGTAACTGTAAGACACTACTTGTCAACTACCTTCAAAAAATTACACTGACTTATAACTATAAAGCCAAAGAGCATGTCATGACGGCAGCATAGACTTATAACAACAACCAACAAGTAGAGCCATTAGAGCTGAATATTAAATATTGGGAAGGAGTTAGTTTGTTTGTTTGAATTACTTACTCTTGGAGAAGGAGGCAAATGATAAAGTGCGCAATGCCAGCTCCATCTCCAAATTTAGATGCAAAAACTCTTACTTGTGTGCTGTGCTTCTCTAGTAACTGAAACAACTGAAAAGTTCTCTTATCTTGCATTTATGTCAATCCAATTTCGCATATCAGCCCTGGATGTTGCAACTAATTTCACAATTGCCATTTTTTAACCAAAATTATTTTTTAGTGATTACTATTCCTTTAACCAGTGTTTATTTAATCAGTAAAATATAATATAAATACAAATATAAATAATTGAATAAACTTACACCCTAAAAACAATTAGGTAGACTGAATATATCATAAATATTTTTTAAAAATAAATATTTTTTATTTTAAAAATAAATTTCATATGTATCAAATAAAAAAATATAGAGAAATTAGAATAATATCTTTAAAAAAAAATTAAAAAAATCTATTCAAAAAAACCTACAAAACTTGTAATTTAAATCATGATCTAAGTCATAAGACAGAAATAAATTTATAAAAAAAATTAAAGATAATTACAAAGTTAATCTTTAAAAAAATAATGTAAAACATTAGGATAGTAAAAAAAATATGCAAAAAAATGTTCAACAACATTAACTTTCCAAACCTTTAACTAAGTACAAACATAAAAAATATAAAGCTTAATTTCTAAAAAATTACATATTGAAAAATAAAATTAAAAAAAATTAATTACACAAAAAATATAAAAAATATAATTAAAATAATGAGAATAAAAATTAAAATAAAAGATAAATAAGAGGGCAAACATAAACTTTCAATTTGAGAGTTAAATTAAATTAAGAAATAACTCTAACAAAAGGAAAAACAAATCAAATGAATGAGCATTGAATTAGAAAAACTAAAACAGCATAAACTTTTAGTAAATGATAAAATTGAAAATCAATAAAATTTTAATAAAAAAATTAGAAAAAAAAAAACTAAAAGAATAAGTACAAAAAAAACATATAAGAAATTATAACTGAAGCACTAAATAAACAAACAAAACTTTTATAAAATAAATAAGAATGAAAATAAAAAATCAAGTTGATTTAGGTTATTTTTTTGTTTCTTTTTAGTTGAATTTTTTTTTTAATTTTCATCCTCAATATTGGGTTAATTGAAATTGAAGCCTTATATTTTTTTTTATTTTTATTCTATAAGGTTATTGCAACCCATAATTTGAGTTACAAGTTTGATAAGTTGATTCAAGTAGGTTTTTATATCTTTTTTTGTTGATTTTATTTTTAATTTCATCTTTCAATATTTGTTTAATTGAAAATTAAGTTTTATAATTTTTTTATTTGTTTTATATGGGGTTATCTTGATTTTATGATCCGAATTTAGCAGATTAACCTAAGTTGACTTGACTTATTTTTTTAGTCAAATTTTATTTTTAATTTTATTCTTCGATATTGGATTGATTGAAAATTAATTTTAATATTTTTTTATTATTTATTTTTTATAAAGTTATTAGGGTCTTATGACTTTGATAGAGAATTTGACAGGTTAACTCAAGTTAATCCGAGTCAATCTAATATATTATTTTTTTCAATATTTTAAAAAAATATGTCATTTTAATTTACTTTTTTGTAATCAAACTATATTTTTATCGATTATTTTAGTTATTTCTAAAGCTACCAAGTCACCCAAGTTGTGTCAAATAAATCTCCACATAGTTTAAATTTTTTATACTAAAATATATATTAATAATATTTAGATATTTTTTTTATCTTAAATTTTTTTGATGCAATACGTAATTGTAGGAAATCATCTAATAAGTAACTATGAAACTAGCTATTACTTAAACGATTAAGACTGCCAAAACGATTAAGCATTTTAATGCTTGGCCTAGCGGTGGAAGGAGCTTGTCTCCTTTCACTGCCATGAGTTTGAGCCCTAGCGTGCACGTTTATCATCCTCGCGGTGTCTTACATGCCTACTGGGTTTGCAGGGTATTCAGTGGGCCTTAGGGATTAATCGTAGTGTGCGCAAGCTAACCCAAACACCTCACGTAAATTGAAAAAAAAAAAAAAGACTACCAAAACCCTCTAAATCACATATCATCTGTTTAAATGTGATCCGTAAATTCATCTTGAATTAGCACTAGTAATAATATTTTCTTAGCATTTTTTATGAATTCGTCGTATGCTAGCCTACTTGTAACTTTTAGCGCGTTAATTAAATTCCCTTAAAAGAACAATATTGCTATATAACAGAATTAATTCAGCAGATTATACATTGTAAAATTAAAAAAAAACTGCTTATATATTATATACATATACAATAGAGATAATAAAGTCGTGAAGAACCATACAAATCCGAACCCTTTCAATTATGAGCTTTCCTGTTCCCACTTCACCCAACAGACAGCAAGCTCGTACTTGCTGACTTTAATGTTTGGTGAAGCATCTCAATTTAACTACGAACAACTACAAGCATTGGATATTGAATGATTTCACAAGTCCCATGATAAACAAGTTTTGCCATAAATTCTTGAGGTAAAAAAAAAAAAAAAACTAATCATCGACTTGGTATTAATCTTGAAGGCTAAACAAAACTTGAAACAAATCTTCTGATTTTAACAACAAAAAAAAAAATCACAATTAGACATGTTTAATACAATGTAAGGTAATAATAATAATAATTAAAAAAAAAAGTAATGCAATTCGTTACATTTCTTTGTTTAGTCTCAAAACTTTAGCAATACAAACTACAAAGGAGGCTTTGGCATAGTGCCATTTTAGTCCCCATACTTTTCAAAAACTTATTTTAGTTCCTATGGTTTACTTTTATTTATAAATTGGTTCTTATTTAGAAATTTTATCCATTTTTATGATGAAAAACTTGACAATTAGTTTTCTGAATGATCACTATTATTCATTTAATTGTTTGAACCCGTTTTTTATTGTTTGAAGTTTGAACC